TAAATTATAGTATTAATATGTTTAATCCTCATTATCGTCGTACATCAAATTCCAGCAAATGTCTCCTAGCAATGAATCCAACTTCTTTCCGCTACACCAATAGATAGCTACTAATGAGCATCTAGAGCACTCTAGATTTGCAGTTACTTGGTGAAATCGTTCTCCATGTTCATCAGTTCGGCAAATGTTTTTAAATTACATATTAACGCTAATTCTTTAAAAAACAGAGAACATTTTTTCAATGAATTGGCGCCAAATTTTGGCCCGATATGAACCTAGAATATTTTCAATGACACCTTTAACATTGTCATATGCGACAAACTCGTCAACTTTGAGAGCATTTTTGAATTCTTGATCTTTCATTAAACGTCGTATATCAGGTCCATTTAATATTCCTGCAAAAAGTAGTAGGCATATCATAAAATTTTGTAATGAAATATTGCGTTGGTTTTTCTTGGGCGTAAAGGTACCGCAACAAAAACAAAACAAATTTACAACGACGACATAAAGGTTCTTTCTCTGCCACTTCCATTACCACTTCCATTTCCTGCCCTTTTTTCATTTTTGGTTCTTAAAATCACTTTCAAGTAAAAATACAATTTAAAGTTTAAATTTTAAATGTCAAAAATTAATAGATGCACTTTAATGTGCTTGAACGATAAAGTAGATAAAGGCACCTTTATACTTCAATTTGATATTAAATTTTGATAAGACCTAATAAATAAGATTGGAGATTGAATTTTTAGGTACTTTAGGCATGATGTGAATAAAAAAATATCAAATAATAGTCGAAGTAATGTTTATACCGAATACTACTATAGTTATTATATACAGCTACAATGAAACAAAAAAAATTCTATTTGACATTTATCTACCGATGAATTAATTTAAATTTGTATGAGTCCCTGTATATTGTTGCAAAAAAACGTCAAAAATATACTGAACATCTAAAATAGATTTAAGGCAAAATAATTTAATAAAATAAATAATAATAATAATAAAATAAAAATATTAACGAAAAACTTACATTTTGAGATAATTGTGCAGAGCATTTTATTAGGCAATTATTTCGAATCCTAGACGTTCTGGAGCAAAACAAGTGGCATTTTTGAAATCAGCAACCCAAAATTAGGTTATATAGGTGGGCGTACTCAATGTTAGAAATTCGAACTATCATATGGTGGAATTATGCAGCACAAATTAACATTAAGATTAAAATTAATTTAACATAAATAGGTACTTCCATTGTATTACATTCATCTTAACTTTTTAATGTTAATCTTAATGTTAATGTTAATATTAATTTAATGCAACTTAATGTTAATTTGTGCTGCATAATTGTACCAATAGTGTAATTTCTACAAATTTAATATCAATATTCTTTACAATATTTGTTAAAGTAAGCTGCATTTTTAAAAAACTATTTGGAAGTTTTAGGGGGTGGCACAAAATTCAAAAATGATCTTTATAAGGTCCTTATGTTCTGTGGTCCACCCTAAGGTACAGGCACAAAAGTGTGGTTATGTAGGTACTAAAAAATACTTTTTTCTATGTATAAGGAAAATTGGAAAATTGATCGGTACAAAGGGAAAAACAAAAACAGGGTTCGCAGCGAATGAAGCAAACATTTTAGGGCACTTTAGGGCACTTTTATTTTTAACATAGGACACTAAATTAGTGCCGATTTAAGGAAATTGTTGGAATAATTTACCTTATACAAATTATACCGTTGTTTTGTACATACCTAATTACTAGGGCATACAATACGGACAAAATTAGGATTTCTTAAATCCAGGGATTTTCGGGATTTATTTTTTAATTACAAAAAACATTTTTTTTAATAATTTATTATTACCAAATACTTAAAACCCTTTTTTATATAAACAATTTGGAAAATAAAGGAAAAATATAAACAACAACAGTTAAGTATTATTATAATCACTTATTTAATTACAACTTACCAGTACTCAGTACTGAGTACAGTACTCAGTACTGAGTACTGTACTGTACACTAAAAAAAATTTAACTTTATTAAAAAAATATCATTTATTCTGTAAACAATTCATAAAAAAAAACAAATAAATAAAAATATACTTTCTTAAATAAAAAACAAATCTTTAAAAGTAAGGTTATACCTTAGTAGCAATGGAATTGGACAAGATTCTTTGTCAAGATACTTGGAGAAGCACTTTGTAAAGAATTGGACAATTCTTGACCAAGACTCTTGATCAAAATTCTTTATTCAGACTGGTGGCAGACTTGGACAAGTCTGTGGCCAGAATTGAACCAGAATCTGACCAGAGAATCGCAAAAAAGACGAGTGCGCACATATTCTCCGACTTTCACTTGAGCGTGAAAAGTATAGCCAAGGGCGTCGATAAGGGGGGTAATGGGGGTAATTACCCCTCCCCAAGATAGAATTCCTCAGAAAAAAAATTACTACAAAATTTGTAATAATAATAATATAATAATTATATAAATTATTTATGAATGCAAGTCGCTCTCTATGAATAGTTAAAGTGTGGCATAATAGAAGCCTTATTTTATTACTATTATAATAGATGGTGGTAAGATAGTGAATTTAGTGAATTTAATTCGCAAAATCGCAAATTGCGCTTCGCAATGATTTCGCATCTTGTGCGCATCATCTAGAGTGAACGTCCGCCCCCAGCATCCTTAGATTAATAATCTCTCGCATCTTGTGAGCATCTCTGATGTACTAAAGTCTAGTTAAAGGCAAACCGAGTCAAAACTAAGTTAGTTAGGTTTAACTAGAGGTGTGTTGCGATTTCGCAAACTGCTACTTTGTCACTGCTCCGGTGGCGTCGCAATCGCAAACTGCTCCGCGGCAGTAAAAATCGCAGCGACATTTCGGAGCAATTTAAAATTTAAATTGCTCCGAAATTTTAATTATACCAGGCCGTCGCTGTTGCTCTCTTCAGCAGCGACCGTGTGGGGAATTGTTCCACATGTATTTATCAATATGTGATTAAACTTATTGGTAGATAACTCGTACAAAAAACTTTTTAAACTTAGGTTTGCTTTTAAATGTTTATAGTTTTTAGGTTTAAACAGTTGGTACGGTACCACGGAAAAGCAGTCAGACCTATTCGACTTTATGCTGTCCTAATACTTACGGGCATTTAAAATCTTATTTAAACGGGCGTTTAAAAAAACTATTTCAAATTTTTTCTTTCTATTTTTGCCTGCGGCCGAAAATCTATGTTAAATTATTGTGATAAATAGCAATTTACGGTTTTATCGTTATTTAATGCTTTTTAATATCAGTGAAAAAAGTTATTTTGATAAATAGCAATTCACGGTTTAATATTTTTTTTAATATCAGTGAAAAAACACAATTCGTAAAATATCACAGATCACGCTAATTAATAGATGTAAGTAGCAGTCGTTATTCGTGATTTTAAAATATCAGTGAAAAAATCACAGTTCGTGAAATATCGCTTATCTCTAGTTACTTCGCCGTTCGCACTTTCGCCAGTGTTTTGCTTTTACCGTGGCACTGCCCAAACAAAACTGCTCTGGAGCATCGCAAATCGCATTGCTTCGAAAAATCGCTGTTCCGGCCGGAGCAGTCGCATTGCATCGCAGCTCTTGAAAAATCGCAAACCGGCCCACCTCTAGGTTTAACCTAATAGGTTACTGCATAGAAAAATGCCGCGACATGACAACAAAAGCATGCATTATGCAGAGCCAATCAAAACGCGGCTTGTACCGCCAGATTCAAAATGTGAATTGACCGTTTTATTATATTATGTAGGCCGCATTTGGACTCTTCACTTTCTTAAAACCCTTGTATGCCTTCGCACCTAATTAACATTTAGTGTAAATTTTATTTACAAGCATTTAAATTTTCATATATCTCAATTTAAAAAATAAACGAAAAATTGATAAAAAATAGGGCACTTTATTTTAAAATAGGGCACTTTTAGGGCACCCTGAAAAAATAGGGCACATTAGGGCACTTTAGGGCACTCACTGTGAACCCTGCAAAAAGTTTATAGTTTTAGTGAATTTAAGGATCACCCTATACATGTATTTATTTTTCGATTCCTTGTAAAATTCTAAGCATATTTCATATAACATACTATATACCTAAATTCTACCGTTTCTGAAATGTTTTAATTATTTTTATTATAATAACATTGACTTCTTCACTCAACAATAATAAGTTCAAATACCTAGTTTGTCTTTCTCTGTCTGAGTACGCCATTTTTACTTATTTAACAAGACATATTGACATAATGTCACTATGGTAATTTATTTTCATTAAAAATTTTGGCATACTGAGGCATCTCGATTTATAACATTTAAAAAAAACATTTAATGCAAATGCAAATCAAATGCAAATATTTCAGAAACGGTTGAATTTAGGTATATGGTTTGATATATGAATTATGCTCAGAATTTTACAAGGAATCGAAATATAAATACATATATAGGGTGATCCATTGAAAAAAAAATAAACTTATTGTTTTTCCCTGTATACTGATCAATTTTCCAATTTTCTTTATACATAGAAAAAAAGTATTTTTTAGTACCTACGTAACCAAACTTTTAAATTTTTTGGGGCACTTAAAATAAAAAAGTTAAGTGGGGCGACATTATAGGGGATCACCCTGTGCATATAGGTATCATTGTTTTTATTATTTAAAAATGGGGTAAGAAGCAAAAGGGTACAAGTGCATTTTAGCATGAAAATAAGTTAAGTGCAGAATTGGGTAGTTTTTTAGTCATTCAGTCATAATTATTTAGTTTTAAATAAATTATAATAGTATAATAAATAAGGCTATAAAAGGTGCTCTATAATAACCAAAAAACCATATTGTGGTTATTATAGAGCACCTTTTATAGACCAGACAGCGAAAGTTCATATTATAGCCTAACATACATTTATACTGATTTATAGAGCCAAACCACTAGATTTTAAACATTGTCCAAGTCTGAATCAAATAAAATAAAATAATAACTTTTTTACTTACATCCAAATCTGTTACATCGTTTTCCTCTGACAAATTTGGTATTTTTATTTTACCACTAAGTTCAGTATCACCACCTTTCAGTTTACCAGTCCACTTTAAAGTGAGCTCCCATTCATAGAAGAATATCAATTTTCCTTTACGGTTGTTGGCAGATGCCTCACCTGTGCACTTGTCAACTTCTGAAATTTTAATATCAGCTTCATCAGTGTTAACTTTGATGTTATTGAATAGTTCTTTGATTTTCTCCTGTGACCAGGGGCTGGCGTTTTTCTCAGTCCAATGCCAGTTATTTACGTTTGTGGCATCAGGCCTTTCTTCCACGATCCATCTTGGATCTCCTTCGCCCCATTTAGCCATATTTAACGAGTATAAATATTATAAAAGACTACGAGTAGTAAGCACCTGCAATTACAAATCAATGATCAACACGAAACTTCGTAAGTGTAAGGTTAAATAAAACTATATTACCTTGGGATTAAGTTTTTTTAGCCACGGGAATAAATTGGCGAAAGCACAATCGTCTTTTAACCTAAAATTGCGTGAATCGAACACCTTCCGGCAGGTATCTCGAATATTCGACCGCACTCACAGAACACTAGCGCACCAATCTCGAAGCTGGCACACCAATTTCGGAATTTTCTAGAAATCATTTTCATAGATTATCTTTGCACCGCCTACTAAAGTAATTATGTCAAAGTAAAACGTATTATAGTTGGAAGATGGCGCTCAATGTCACAAATTATCACATACTTCCACACATGTGCAAATTACATACAGGGTGTCCCAGAATATGTGGTCAATCTCCCGGATAGAATAGAATAGAATTCATAAAAATAATATGACAAGTTCATATAATTTTTTTTCCTTCGGCCCCCTTCGGACACCACTAGAAATCGTTTGTTTTTAAATAACTTTGGAATTTAATAATGTTTTAATATATTGTTTTCTAGGAAAGTTTCCTTAAAATGGACACTTTTAATCACATTTAATAATTATTTAGTTTGCCAGTGATGGACTATAGCTCTAACAGAGTAATGCTATTTTTTAACTATAAAGGCACAACAATAATATTTTTTAGTCAGCCTAAACCACAATCCACACAACAAGGTAAAGTTCTTTTTTTATCTGGACTGCGGCAACGTTGCAAATTTAGGGTTTTGGTTGGTAAATACAGTTGTCAAGTTGGTCGCATTGATTAAAATAAATCTAATTGTGGTTATGTATAAATTATTGTAGGTTACATTGTGCAGTTGTCAAGTTGAGTTGTCGAAATTCGTAGTTAAAAATGCAATTAATTTGGCTTTGGTGGTGCTTGGATGATCATCATGCTCGAGCAAAATCATATAAAAAAGTAGTTAAATATAGGTTGCTTTACGGCCCAGAAGAGAAAGTATTTCTAGCGGATAATAATCTTCGCTTTAAAAAGAATTTATATAAAAGAAATTAAAATTTTTTTAACCTAAATGTTGTCCAATGGTGAATAATGTGAAAATAATGTGTGATATCACATATTACATATGTAATATTTATAAAACCAAATTCGTTACTTTTTTACCTTCGCTCATCTATGAGGCGATGTACTTTTTCTTCCATTGTGGCATTTGGCATAATTTCATCAAAATGAAGTTTTGCCCTCATAACGGCTTTTACATTCGAATCCGTTGCTATTATTTTTGGCATAATTATCTTTTTATTTATAATTGACAAGTACTTAAGTTATCGTAAGTAATATCATAAGGGCATCTAATTTTTCCGAAAAAAATCGAAAAAACACGTTGCTAAGGAATATTTTAACAAGAAGCATGAGTAGCTACTAGTGTGACAGAAGTGCACATGTCTACAGAGTCTACAGAGTGATGGGTCGCACATGTGCGAGTCGTACATAATGTACGACACTTTTGTGTGTGCGGAGCTGGTACGACTCTTTTTAAACGTGCTACCAGCACATAGCACCCAGAGATACAAAAAGGCACGGTGCGCCGAAACACATCCCAGTAAACACACAATCGTACATTTTACGTTTTTTTTACGTGTGAGTAGTGAATTTTACGTTTATGGTAAGTTAGACACGTTTTTTTAACGTATAATTATGGGGTTACATAACACGTATTTTAAAAGATGTCAATGTGCCATTTTTTTAACGTTTATTTAAAGTCTTTTTTATGTGTTCTTTTTGCGGTTCGTTTTAACGTTTTATATAGGTACGTGTTTCATCGAGTTAAATTAGTGTAATTTATAAAACGGTTTCATTTTCCCATATTTTTAACGTTTTTTTAAGCATCTTATAAATCGAAAAATTTACTGTTCCATTTAACGTTAAAATTACGTCAATGGTTAAGTATATTTTAACCCCTTAAAAAACGTTTCTATTTTTCCCAATTTTTAACGTTTTTTTTAGCATATTATAGATCGAAAAATTGACTGTTTCATTTAACGTTAAAATTACGTCAATGGTTAACTAAATTTTTACTACTTTAAAAAACGTTTCTATTTTTCCCAATTTTTAACGTTTCTTTTACACCGAGAAAAATAATTTAAGACCATCTTTAAGATTCTTAATAACCTTATTTAAGATATCGCAGTAAAATAGGGGACATTAAGACCGTTTAAATACCATTAATAGATTCAATTTAATAACTTTACTTTGTGACCATCAATAGGCAAACTTAATACAATTATCATAAGACCATCAAAAGTTTTTTCATCCAAGCTGATAGAGGAAACCATCCTGGCACTCCAGCGAGTCGCTAGAGGGAATCGGCTCAACCTTGCCTGGATTCCAGGTCATGCCGGATGGAAAGGCAACGAAAGAGCCGATAGATTAGCAAAGGAGGGCACCACTCTATGTGGTCCTCAAGAGAAGGTAGTGGGCATGCCGTTCAGGGAGGGCGTAAACCTCATTAAAGCATGGACAAAGCGCCAACAGGCGAGAGAGTGGCAGCAAAGCCCGGGATGCAACACAGGCAAGACCCTTATGGGCAGCGGTGTAGAAACCTGGTCGGTAGAGCTCCTGAAGCTGAGCAGACCAAAAATAAGGGCTGTTGTGGAAATCGTTTCCGGCCACAACAATCTGAACAAGCACAGATACGTGATAGGAAAGACGACATCTCCACGATGTGAAAGATGCGAGGAGGAGATTGAAGACTCCCAGCACTTTTTGTGCAAATGTGTAGCACTAGCGAGGACCAGATTCGCGGTGTTTGGGCAGACGGAGATCCATCCGGAGCAGGTTAGGGAGCTAAGTGTGGGACAGATATTAGACTTCTGCAAAGAAGGACAATATCTTCGGCAGCCCTAAGGTAATGCGGGGGGGATAGAGTACAAGAGTCTCATCGGCTAGGTGCTCTGAACTGTGCGTGCATAGCCCCTTGAGATTACATAACATAACATCAAAAGTTTTTATATCGGCCATTAATATATATCTTATAAGGGTTAATATATTATTTTAGGATCATCTTAATATCACTTAAATATCTTCTTATGACATCTTAATATGATCCCAAATTGATACATATATGGCAAATAAATAATCTTATAATGGTAAATATATTATTTTATGATCATCTTTAATTCCATCCTAATATCCTCTTATGCTATCTTAATATGATCCTAAATATATTTATTTGCCAAAATAATATGCTATAGCTATCATATTAAGATTGCCTATTTACGGCAATAGTTTAATTTTATTATAAATGGAGCTGCACCATGGTATAAATAAACGAAAATAAATCTTAAAAGCATTACTTGTTTCTACTAAAAGTAAAGTCTTGGAAATAAAATAAAGCCCCAACGCGAAAAAATGCATTAAAAGGTTGGATTTTCATTTTAGTCTTCGAGTACTTGAACATAATTTTGGCATTCATTTTTATTTTATTTAAAAAAATCATTAACACCATTATTTTCACCAATTGAAGCACTCTAACCTAAATGTTTATAAAAAAATCAGAAAAACATAATATGTGGATGTCATTTCAACGTTATATAAACGTCAGTGTGCTACCTGGGTAAAGTCTTGAAAATGAAAATAAAGTCCCAACGCAGAAAATGCACTAATAAGGTCGTCTAGTAAAAATAATTTCTGTATTTATTTTTTCCTAAAAAAATAAGGAAAGCATTAATTTATGCTAATTGCGATATATATAACATATTATGTTATATATATCGCAATTAGCATAAATTAATGCTTTCCTTATTTTTTTAGGAAATAAAATAGAGATAAATACAGAAATTATTTTTACTAGACGACCTTATTAGTGCATTTTCTGCGTTGGGACTTTATTTTCATTTTCAAGACTTTACCCAGGAAGCACACTGACGTTTATATAACGTTGAAATGACTTTGGTAACGTCATTTTAACGTCAGCATACGTCAGTGTGCTACCTGGGTACTTTTAGTAGAAATATTAATTAATAATACTTTTAAGGATTATTTCCATTTAGTTAACTCCATAATTTTCTGAACATTTTTAGCCAGTCTACCCTAAAAAGAAAGATAACAATTGAGCTTTAAAAACATTAAACTATTTCAGCAGATAGGCCATCTTAAAATTATAACTTTATACATGTATAATTAAATAATAAATTAAGGAATCAAAGCCAATATTCTGACCTATTAAAAATCTTGGTAATTTTTCTCAAGCTGTTTTATTTATAAATATGGTACCTAATAATAATAAATTGTAAATATTTTACCAAAAATATATTTCAGATTTTACCAATATCCTATAAAATAAACTTCAAAGCATACATTTATAAAAGTATCATCAACATATTAAATACAGGATGAATTTTTTAAATGTTTAATGCAGGGACCCCGGAAACTATATAGAAAGAAATTGAACCTACCTTCAAATCCTTTAACAAAATCACTGAGCCCCCATTCAAGCAGAGTAACTTTGAAAGCCATTACTATGTTCTGTAAAATTACCGCAAAACAATTGTGAAGAAACGCCTTTTTTCTTCTATAAACGTTTCAATATTATCCTCAATTTCCCGTTAACAAGTGAGAAATAATAAATGACGCTTCCACAGAGCACGCTGTTCTGTGCTATGGACGCTAGTTAAACGATTGGTCGATTCGAGTATAGTCGGAAAGCCGAATCTGTTAGTTAGGAAGATGAGTTTGTTAAGGTCATTATACAACTACTTAAGGTCTTAAGATAATTTAAGGTGGTTCACAATCTTATGATATGTGTTTACAATTGACTAGTAATGGCTATTAAGACAAGTTTTAATAAGGTCGTCTATTAACCATATTTAGTTATTTATCACTGACATTAAAATAATTTAAAGAACAGCGACATATTAATCTAAGTTTATGGTGGTATTTAGATATTTTATGATTGTTAAAATATAAATATAGATGATCTATATTTTTTGTTTTGACACTTTATTAAAACGTATCTATTAGTCACCTTAATTCGTCTTCATGTCACAGATAGATAATTTGTACTGGTTATTAGATATATTTTGAACACTATGTAGATAATTTCATTAAGATAATTTAAGATTGTAATTTTCTCAGTGTAGCATATTATAGATCGAAAAATTGACTATTTCATTTAACGTTAAAATTACGTCAATGGTTAAGTATATTTTAACCCCTTAAAAAACGTTTC